GTGAAGTATTAGTGGAGGATTTTTGTTAAAATTTCTGTAGCTCTGGGGTTTTCAAATCATCCATTCGTCCAGGTAGTGTTTGCTGCCCTGGGGAAATGTACGGTATTGCTGGCTTGTTATGTTCACATGTCATAGAATCATAGGATCATTAAGGTTGGAAAAGACCTCTAAGATCATCGAGTCCAACCGTCAACCCAACACCACCATGTCCACTAAACCATGTCCCTAAGTGCATGGACCCATGTCGGTCCAAAGCTCAGAGTAATTGAGTTCAGGCTTCTCCTACAGCTTGGGACTTATCTCCTGCTTGCCCCCCTGCGGGGGCTCAGCTCTGTGCCGGTGGGCTTGGGGGGGAACCCGGTGCTTTCTCCCCTGCTTTCGGCTCCATGGGCCGAGCTGTTGGCAAACTGGTTAGGAAGGCAGCACCGAGGGCTCGCAGCTGCACAGCACAGTTGGACCCTGGTTGGACGGTGCCAGGACGAGCTCTCGCCTTCCCCTGAGTAGCCTCCTTCTGCGGCTGCCTGTGCATCGGGGTCCTTCCAGACCAGGGATGGCAGCAAAAGGGGGAAAATCTTGCATGCAGCTGCAGATCTCCGCTCCCCATCCTGCCAAAAGCCTCTGGGGCAGAAAGCCCTTCTCGCACCAGGACTTGGGGCTGGGGCAGCCGTTTCTGAGGCTGCTCTCAGGCTGGGCAGATGTGCTTTTACATGGGGAAGAGGAAATGAGAGCACAGCTGGATGCACCCTTACTGGGTGCCTGTAAGGACCAGGGGTCTCTGCGCCCCATTTCAGCAGGCTTGTGCCAGGGTGTAAGTGTTTTCTGAGCAACTCTGCGATGTGCTCCTTCTCTGCAGGCTATAGAGGAGCTCTTCCAGGCACTGGATCTGGAGAAGAAGAGCGTCGCCATAGGACACAGCCAGGTATGACGGCTCTGGTCTCTGCTTCCCTGTTGCTCTCGGTGCATACGGGCACAGCCAGCCCTGCGCCGGGCACTGCCAGCTGCCCAAAGCTTCCCAAACTGGAGAGACAATCTCTCCTCCGCTGCTCCCCATGGCGCCCAGGTGGGTTGGGAAACCAAGCTTCACCAAAAATCAAAGTGGAAGGCTCCTAATTCACATTTGAAGGTGTTACCCTGGGTAAACTGTGTACCTGATTGTGGAAATCCGGTCCCTCGTGGCATTTCACTTCCTAATTACCTTTGATGTCTCATGGGAGTAAATGGGGCTTGGGCAGCTCATGGTTTTGGTGGGCTGGGGTTAACACTGCTGAGCCGGGCAGCTGCAGGTGCAAGAGTTGTTGCAGCAACAACATTTGAACTTAAATGCGATAATTTCAAAGAAAAATTAATTTTGCATGCGTGCTTTCCTTCAGCTCTTGGAGTCTATAAAGAAAGAATTCCTGAAATGGTTCTGTGGAGCAAAATAACTTACTTTTATCCTGCACAGTGCAGTTTGCAATTATCTCTGCTATGAAACCCTTGTACTTAATCAATACTGCGATAGCAGCTCCAGTCACATCTTGTTATAGAGGAGTTAGTTTTGCCATCGCTTTGAGCATTGATTTTGTACTAGCTTCTAAAACTCGCTGGCTTGTGAAGTTAACACAGACATTAATGAGACAATCAAATAGGTGGTGGAGCAATCACAGCATTATCTCAAGAAAGTGAGTTTCCTTGGAATTGTTCTTTGATTCAATTTGGCATCTTTAAAACACAGCTCTCTAAGTATGCCACTGGCTTCACAAGTGTAATTAAGTTTTTATTAAAGCTGTATTATGCAAACGGTGCACAATATTCAGGAGTGATTGGTCCCATATCTCAAGAGCTTCGCCAGGCAATGACCGAGAGACATCTTGCACTCTGAGAGATCGATACCAGGCTAAATTCGATGGCATCAGCAAATCTGTATCATTTATGAGGTGTTTCTGACAAGTTCATTTAAAGAAAATGATGTGGTTAATTCTGTTTTTCCTGTTGTAAACTGGCATCTTTGCTGTTATCTGTGCGTATCTGTGTGTACGCTGTCAAAAATGCTGTTTCCAGCAGAGACAGCCCTGCCTTCCATGCAGCAGGTGAGAAATGGGCAGTAGCCCAAGGGGAGAGTTTCAAGGACTTGCAGCTTCTTGTGATGGTTGATGCCTATGTCAAAAAGGAGAAGGGAGAAGAGGCAGGGACAGAGAGCAAATGCCAGCGTGCGCACAGTGCGAGGGTCAGATCCCAAAAGGCGCTCAGCAGCCCAGTCCCCGGGGAGTCAGTGGGAGCTAGGCAGCCCCGTACGCCCTGTTTCGGCGATGCCCAGGTGCAGGAGATGGAGGGGCGGGTGGAAGGTCCTCTCCAGGATGTGCAGCCATCCTGCTGCTGGGCTTGGGGACGGGACAGAGCCGGGATACAGCTCTCTCTTGCTGTCCCATGAGTGTCCCCAGGGAGGTCGGTGCCAGGGCTGCCTCAGGTGCCTTCGTGGCACAGGGCAGACAGGGGTGTTGCAGGTTTGGCCAAGTAGGGCAGGAGTCCCCTTCCAGCCCAGCGTTTTGGGCTGGTGCAGTGGTTGCACTCACTGGTCCCAGCTGGTCTAAGGACCTTCAGTCTCCTGCAGGTCTCAGGGGAGGCTGCAAGGTCTTAGCCAGAAATACGTCCCATTGGCTGCAGGCAGGTTTCAGACCCTGTCCTGGGGGTGCGTAACCTCCATTACTTGCTGTCAGGTTTTCCTGAAGCCGGGGGTCATCTCCAGACTGGAGAAGCAGCGCGACAAGCTGATAGCCCAGAAGATGATCCTGCTCCAGGCTGCTTGCAAGGGCTTCCTCAGCCGTCAGAAGTTCAAGAGGTTGAAGGTATCCATCCCACAGGTCGTGGATGCCCTGTGCCCACCAAAGCACAGGCTCGGTGCTGCTGTGATACAGCCCAGAGCATCCAAATTACAGCTCTTTGAGCGGAGCACGTGGCTCCTTTGAAGGATACCCACTCTGCCCTGCCCTGTGGGCAGCCATAGGGTGCCTCGCTGCCATCCCCTGCGGTGCAGAGCTCCTCCACCACCTCATCCCTCTCTATCCCGGTGCCCCAGCCTGGTCCTTCCCAGTGGGCTCGGTTGTGGCTGGGTGAGGGGCACTGCCGGCCGTGTCTCCCCACAGATCCAGCGCCTCGCCGTCCACTGCATCCAGAAGAACCTGGTGGTCTTCCAGGCAGTCAGGCACTGGCCCTGGTGGCAGCTGCTGAGCCGCGTGCGGCCCTTGCTCAGCGTTAACCTCGCGGAGGAGCAGCTTCGTGCAAAAGAAGTATGCACCAAGCGATGGGAGGGGATGGGTTGGGATGGGACGGGACGGGACGGGATGCTTTAGGGCCTCTGCCTGGTGGGTCAGTCAAACTGGAAATCACTTCTGCCAGGGCAGAGATGTTTTGCTGACCATCCATAAGTTGTCATCTATTCTTAGCACTGCATTTTTCCCCCCAAGTAATGTGTTTTGCGGAGCTGCAGAGGGAGAAATAACTCTCCTTCCTTAGAGGGACAGTAGCAAATGCACCATGTCCCTGCAGCCGAAGCCCCATCCCAGGGCCGTGACTGCCCTGCTGCCCGCCTCATGCCCCCCACGAGCTTGCTGGGGCTGGGTCCGCTGAGCCGAGCCCCTTGGGGACGGGTGCCCCACATCAGTCTGTGGGGTGACGGATGATGAGCAGCCAAACACATCCTTGACACAGGGGACTCTGCTGTGTACTGTCACCAGAGCTGTACTGCCTTCCACCTGAGCTGCCACTGGTGATGGGAGACGTTAATGGGCATTTGCTGACCTGGGAAAGGCACCTTTCGCCCCTCTGCACTGTCTGAGGCCTGTGCTAAATTCTTAGTCTGTCTTTCTTGACATCCTGCTCCTCCTCTTGCCTTAGTGAGGTTTTAACAAGATGTTTTCAGGCTGGTTCGGACAAAATAAAAGCTGCCCAAGCCTCTGTTTCTCTCTCCAAACCTGCCTGGGATCCGTCAGGCTCCATCACCCGTTAACCTCTGTTTTTATCACAACTCTGCACGTTCTGCTTCTGCTCAGTGTTGGACATCAAAGCAGGACAAGGCTGTACTGAGCAGCTCTTTCTGCGGTTACAGTCAGGCTGCCTGAAAAAGAATCACAGAAAACAATGTGCCTTTGCAACTGCTCTGTGATAGTCTGCCAGGGCCCCAGGAACACTCCATGAGCAAAATTCAGATGTTTGACTGTTCATCCCAGGCTTTTGAGGTTTGCTTCTTTCTCATAAAATGTGCTCTGTATGTACACCAAAGCTGACATTCCTTCTGATGAAATTCATGTCAGGAGCTGTAGTCTCAGCAATTTGCAGTGAGCAGCCTTCAAAGTTGCCTAGTAAATTTTATTAATAAGGCAGCTATGTCTCTCCCACTTATTTTTAACAGAAAATGAGATTTTCATAAATGAACTGAGAATGCTGGAGCTCTCCATGTGTGTTGTTTTGCAATCTTCCCTAGGAGGAGCTGGCAGCGCTGAGAAGGAAGCTGGAAAAATCCGAGCAGGCGTGCAGCGAGCTCAGGCAGACTGCAGAGAAGCTGGAAAGCAAGGTAGAGCCCGAAAAAAGCCTCTGCCGCAGCCCCGCTTGGTTGAGTTGGAAATTAAGTTGGAAATTAAGCCATGTCGGGATAAATATGACCACCAATTACATTACAGCAGGAGGAGCCATGATCAGCAGAGGGTTGGGCAGGGGGCAGCTGCCGAACTGCCGGCAGAGTAACCGCAGCCAGAGGTGGTTCTCTGTGCAGGACCCAGCCGGGCTGCGGTGCCTGACTGCAGCACCCAGTGCCAGCATTGCTGCAGGGTCCATGCTGGGTGGGATCCTGCCTGCCAGAGCAACGGGTCCCCCCAGGGTCTGCACCCAGAAAACAGCCCAGACGCCCTGGGAATGGGCCATTCCCAGGGGTGTCCCCAGGGAAAGCCTCATGTCCCCTCCGGCAAGGACAGACGTCATCTCGTGCTGCCACCGGCACGGCATACGAGGCTGAAAAACGGCAGTGTGAATGTCATCCCTTCTGCTGACAAAAGGGTATAATTAGAATGGGAAATTACACACAGATATATCATGTTCTCATTATGCTCTCAGGACTGCAGGCTCGCTGACCTCTGCAGACACCAGAAATGACTTAGTTTAATGGGACGAATGCTAATACCAAGGAGACGGCATGCAGTAGAAGTGTCCTGCCCATCTCCTGGCTCCGAGCGTGAGCCCTCTGTGCACAGTGCTCGTGGGGTGGCAGCTGCTGGGGCAGCCGCTTGGCCACCCCCTTGTGCGTGTCAGAAGGGACTTGGAGGCACGTTGGGGACCACGTGCATCGCTGGCTGGCCGCTGGTCCTGTGCGGAGTCCCCCCTCGGATGCACAGGCTCCTGTGCAATTGCAGCTGGGGTTTTGTTAAGCACTGGGAGCAGAAAGAGCTCCCCAAGTTTGCTATAAATACCCTGGGTTTACCTGGCTCGCCGGGCTGCGGTGCTTGCTCCTCGCGTGGGGTGGCTGCGCTGTGGTCTAGGTGTAATGCTGCAGTTCTGGTTAATGGTACCAACAGCCCGGAGGGCCAGGGACCCCTTTCTCAATGGGAAGCGGCTAAAGATGATTTAACTTAAGCTCCGTGTTAAAAATGAAATCACACCCACAAGGCTGGGACTGCTGAGCGAGGCTAACGCCTCAGGACAGACCTAGAAAAATACCATCTCCCCAGGGAAAGAAAACCTATTGACTTTACTTACTGAGTGTGGTTGTTGGACCATGTTGGACCCCCTGAAGAGCTTGTGTAGTGCGCCTGCAAAATGTGAAGTGCCTTAAAATGCTGTCAAATGAAGGAAAAGGAGCGTTGGAAGCCTGCATGTTCCTGCTGGCCCTGCTGCCTCTGTAGCCCCTCGCTTGGCCGGATTAGCGCATGTTCACCTCTGCTTTGCAGAAAATTGAATTAATACTCCAGATTAATAATTCACTCCTTCATTCACCTGCTTATTGTTTCAAATGAAACTTAATGCTAATCAGCTAGAACGGTGCAGAAATCTGATGAGCCCTGCCTGCAGTGCACTGCAGGCAGCACAGTGCAGGCAGCGCACTGCTGGTGCCAGCTGCCCGCTGTGCAGCCGTAGCTCTGCTTTGCAGAAAATTGAATTAATACTCCAGATTAATAATTCACTCCTTCATTCACCTGCTTATTGTTTCAAATGAAACTTAATGCTAATCAGCTAGAACGGTGCAGAAATCTGATGAGCCCTGCCTGCAGTGCACTGCAGGCAGCACAGTGCAGGCAGCGCACTGCTGGTGCCAGCTGCCCGCTGTGCAGCCGTAGCAGGCAGCTGCCTTGCCACAGGCAGCCGGGCGGGGAGGGCAGCCCGGGGGCCCAGCCGGGTGCTGCTTGCAGGCAGCGCACTGCTGGTGCCAGCTGCCCGCTGTGCAGCCGTAGCAGGCAGCTGCCTTGCCACAGGCAGCCGTGCGAGGAGTGCAGCCAGGGGCTCCAGCAGCAGTTGCTCTTTGCTGGGCACTGCCAGTGGGAGCCTGGGTTCCCACTGGTGACACGGATTGGTGACGGTGTGCACTTACCACTTCCCGTAAGCATAGGCAGCTGCCAAAGGAGAGTAGTCAGGACACTCGGGTCGATACGGGCTGGGCGGGCCCCTCCCCGAGCTGGCGTGCACGGCGATGCCCAGCCTGAGTCCGCGTTGCCCCCCCAGATCATCGACCTGACGACGGAGCTGTCAGATGAGCGGTACAAGGGTGATGTCGCCTGCCAGGTCCTGGACGGGGAGCGGGCAGAGAGGCTGCGTGGCACCCGCGAGCTGCAGGAGCTGCAGGTAGGAGAGCCCCGAGCCATCAGGCCATGCCGGTGGCAATGCTGTGCTCTCGGCACAGCCTTGCTGGACCCAAGTGCCCTGGAGCCGGGTAGAGCTGCTCCCTTCCTTCCCTGGGTTTCCCCAGAGGAAACACGACCAAGTGCAGAAGAAACTGGAGTCGGTGGAAAAGCAGCTGGAAGAGGCCCAGCAGCTGGTTCAGTTGCGTGAGATGAAGATAAGTGGCTCTGGAGGAGGTAGGGGCATCCCTTCGGGGGCGATGCATGCTCTGGGCATCCAGCCTGACCTGAGGGGCCAGCACGGCCACCCCAGTGGGGCAGCAAAGCCTCTTGCAATGGGCAGAGTCTTGCCCCCCCTGCTCCGGGCAGCTCTGCTCCTCCAGCCCCTGGCCACCCCAGTGTGTTTTTGGCACCCTGTCACTCTGCATTGCTCATCTGGTGGGAGCTGGCAGTGACGGCTCCGTCACACACGGCTCTGGCTCTTGCATGGCGCTGGGGATGCAGGCAGAGATTCTTCCTGAGGGCACTGCTGGTGCTTGCTGACGTTGCCCGGCACTCCTGGCAGATCAAAGTGTGTTTGAAGCATGTTGTGGAGTGATGAGGAGGCTGCTAAGACACAAGTGGGATGGGGTGGGGTGGGATGGGATGAGCATGCATGCTTTGCCTAGGGCGGGGGTACATGTGCTATGCGAGCCGGGGCAGCCCTGGGTGCACAAAGCAGAGCTGCGCCCTATGAGCTCGGTGCTGGTGTTCATGCCATACAGGAGCCACGGTGCTGTTGTGCATTCGCCCATCTGACCCTGGCACGGCCACTCGTGCTGGTCAGGCCTGAGCACCCACCCAGCATCTCCGGGTCTCTCCTTTCGCAGAGGACGAGTGGCAAGTGCGCTTCGACTGCGCGCAGACGGAGATCGCCTTCCTGCAGAAGCGGCTGGCGCAGCTGGAGGAGCGGCTGGAGTCCGAGCTGGGCGTCAAGACGGGGCTCGAGCAAAAGGCAAGTGCTGCCGGCCCCGGGGCGTGGGCAGGGACAGGGGTTCCCCAGGCTCACACCGAGGAGCGGGGCTGCTGCTAGAGCCCGTTGTCCTCTCCTCGCTCCCAGGGCGGGCAAAGCTTTGCAGGACTGAGGCTCAGAAATGCAGCTGTTTGCTGCTGATGCTCTCACTGACCAGTTGAAACTGGCTGTTTTCTGCTGGTTTAAGAATAAATACCCCAAAGCTTCCTTCAAGCTTAAAAAGTTACTTCTGCACCAGAACATGGCAAAATTCAACCTTGGTCAAGCGTGAGCATGAGCACAGGGTGGAAAGCTGTGGGGTGGAGAGAGGCTCGGTGGTGGGTCTTGGTGTTGGTCTGGCTTTTGGATACTGGACTGGGTTGTGCCCACACCATCTGTCACACAAAGAGCTGGCAGTTCCCAAGCTTTGCCATGCGGAGGGAAAAAGCCAATGTGCTTCCCTGAGTAGTGCCTGGGAGTCAGGTCACTTCCCATAAGGATAAAATAAAGAAATGAATATTATTCATGGTACATTAAAAAGTAATAAGAAAAGCAGCCCAGTCTTAGGAGCTTGGGTAAAGCAAAACAGCCCATTTGCTTTCAGATAGTTAGTTTGGAATTACAGGCTTCATTAATGCAAGATTTTGCTTATTTAAAGTAATTGCTTAATGACTCCATCCTCTGGCTGGTGAGAGCTCTGCGTGTCTCTCTGCCCCAAACATGGTGCGAATCCTTGGGGGATCCAGCTCATTCCATCCAGGCACTGCCTTTCACAGAGAAACGGGATCAGGCGTCCACTCCTGGGGCAGCTTCGCTGACTCAGCAGGAGGGCTGGGATGCTGCGGGCACACAGGAAGGTGCCTGGAGTGTTGAGGGGTCAGGGGACCTAAATTTGTCCTTGTTTGGCGAAAGATTTCCGGCTGAACCATCCCTTGGCGCCGAAGCGGGGCTGAGCCCCGGGCAGGGAGTGGCTGCGGGGTGCGTGTGCTGTAGGGTCCCTCCGCTGCTCACCTCCACCTCTGCCAGCAGCTCAGCGAGGTGCAGGCAGCGTGCGAGGCAGCCAAGAAGGTGTCCCAGCAGCTGCGGCGGCGGTGCAGGCAGCTGGCCTGCGAGCTGGAGGACGCGCGGGTGCTCGCCGAGAGCCAGCAGAGCCGTAGCCACGAGCTGGAGAAGAGGCAGAAGAAGTAAGGCTGGTGGGAGCGCACGCGAGGGCTGGGGCTGCTAGAGCGGGAGTGCAGGGGATGGGGATGCTTAGGGTGGCTTCGGGTGAGGAGTTCCTGGAAGGGCTGCTATTTTCATCTACTTCGACTGCTGGAGGTTGCACCAAGCCGGGAGGTTATTTTAACATCCCGTTGCTGTGTGACTGTAACACACTTCCATAATAGAAATCACTCCCAGTGCAATGCTTGGTGGCACCGTGGGGAGGACTGCCTGGGGCTCGGAGACCATGCTGGCTCCCGTGTCGCTGGGTGCGGGGGCACGTTCGTGCTGAGGTGTCCCAGGCCTTGGTGTACCCTCGGCGCAGACATGCCTGCGCTGGGAGCGCTGCTGGCAAACCGGGCACCTGGTGTGGAGGAGGGGAGCCCTGTAGCCAAGAAATGACCCCCAGCGTTTTAATGCTGCCATTTGATACCAGTGAATGAAATAGGTTTTCTGCCCAAAAATAGGATACCAAGACCAAAAGGCACAGAAAACATGGGAAATCACCAATCGCTTCCTTTATAATTTCTTTTAATTTGCACTTTATTGCTGGTATTCCCCGCTTGCCTGTGCTGAGACGCTGACTGTGGGCTGGGGCTTGGTCTGGCCCAGAGATATGAAAGTGCTGAGAAGCTCTGAGGATTATTGCTCCAAAGCGGCGATTCTTCCTGAGCTGAAACCAAGCCCTTGGTGCGGCAGAGTCCCAGCTGGCCCTGGGGATGGAGCTGCCTGCGGTGGCGGGGAGCAGAGGGCTGCTGCCCATGGTGGCGGGGGGCAGAGGGCAGCTGCCCACGCACAAGCACGTTTTGTGGTGTTTTGGGTCTGTAGCAGCTGATTGCAGCAGTTTTTTGCGCTCTGCTTTTGGTGACTGCCTGTGGGCACACCGCTGCTGCTCCATGCTGTCCGCTTCCCACGGCTGGCATTTGTGCGGAGTAATTAGGGATTCACAAAACGATGGCAGCACTTTGCAGACAATAGGCTTTTTTTTTTTTTTTTTTTTTGTCCCTTCAAAAGGGCTTAAAAAG